TGCCACTCCTGGATTCATAAAAAAAAAATACCCTGCCTAAACACAATAGGATAATCACAAGATATCAACAGCTGGAAAATATCAAGAGATCTTACTCAAGCACAAGAACTTTTGCAAATTAAAATAGTGAAGTTTCCGGGTGCTTGTAAAACACTGTGGTGGTGCACCCTAAAGCTATTCCATAGATTCTCGCAAAATCAGTTGCCTTTGAGCAAGATGTTGGAATATTTTCCAATAAAACATCTCATACTGGAGGCACATGATATTTGTTCTCTTGAGGATTTTGTTAACCCAACAAAACTGATAAAGGTTGCTACTACTGAAGTGACAAAAGTCATGGGATAGCAATATGCAAATTTTCAGATGGCAGTAACATCGCGTAGAACAGGTATAAATGCGCAGTGCTTTCGCAGAGCTTTCATTTCTGTTCAAGTTATTCATGTGAAGAGGTTTTGACGTGATGATGGCCGCACGACGGGAATTAACAGACTTTGAACGCGGAATGTTAGTTGGAGCTAGACGCATGGATCATGCTATTTCGGAAATCGTTAGGGAATTCAACATTCTCAGATCCACTGTGTCAAGAGTGTGCCGAGAGTATGAAATTTCAGGCATAACATCCCACCATGGACAGCGCAGTGGTCGACCGCCTGCACTTAACGACCGAGACCGGCGACGTCTGCAAAGAGTCGTAAATTCTAACAGACAAGCAACACTGCGTCAAATAACAGCAGAAATCAATGTGGGACGTACAAGGGACTTGTCTGTTAGAACTGTGCGGAGAAATTTGGCTTTCTTGGGCTATTCCAGCAGAAGACCGACTCGAGTGCCTTTACTGACAGAACGACATCGCTTGCAGCGACTCTCGTGGGCACGTGAGCATATCGGTTGGTCCCTAGACGAATGGAAAACCGTGGCCTGGTCCGATGAGTCACGATTTCAGTTGGTAAGAGCTGATGGTAGGGTTCGAGTGTGGCGCAGACCCCACGAAGCCATGGACCCAAGCTGTCAGCAAGGCACTGTTCAAGCTGGTGGTGGCTCCGTAATGGTGTGGGCTGTTTTTTCATGGCATGGACTTGGTCCTCTGGTGCGACTGGACCGAACATTGACTGGAAATGCTTATGTTCAGCTACTTGGAGATCACTTGCAGCCATTCATGGACTTCATGTACCCAAACAACGATGGGATTTTTATGGATGACAATGCGCCATGTCACCGGGCCACAACTGTTCGCGATTGGTTTGAAGAACATTCTGGACAATTCCAACGAATGATCTGGCCACCTAGATCGCCCGACATGAATCCCATCGAGCATTTATGGGACATCATCGAGAGGTCTGTTCGTGTCCAAAATCCTGCACCATCAACGCTTTCACAATTATGGACGTCTATCGAGACAGCATGGCTCAATATTCCTGCAGAAGACTTCCAACGACTTGTTGAGTCCATGCCACGTCGAGTTGCTGCACTTCGCCGGGCGAAAGGAGGGCCGACACGATATTAAGAGGTATCCCATGACTTTTGTCACTTCAGTGTATACTTGTGAAGATTATATCACTGGTTCGTCAGTGTTACCAGTACTGACAAAAATGACAAAAAAAAAAAATTGTAATGACAGAAACAGACAAGCTTTTGGCAAAAAAAATAATTAATTAAAAAATCAAATTCTGCTAGCTCTAATAGAGAGGTGTTTTAAAAATAATAAACACGCTGTCATTAACCTTCTTTAAAAGTGCTTGCAAGAAGTACTTGCCATTTCAAGGTGCTAGTGTTGAGCCTTCTGGAATAATATTCAGTGAAGGCAGCAGTGTGATGAATAAGAATCGCACATCCATGATACCAAAGATGCAAGTCAAAATAAAAATTTTATACACGGTTTCACTTTTTCTTTATTTTATGTATTCACTTATTTTATTATTTCATAACATTTTTAAAATGCTTTATTCAATTTTATATGTCTAAGTACTTAAATGCTGTAGTATTTATGTAATCTATAGCAGTCGAGAAGTATATATATATATATATAGTTCACAATGTAAAGACATATTGTAAGCAAAATGGAAAGTTCTTGGATTAATTTTATTTAAGAGGTAAGTTTTAATTTAAGTCAAAAGGTGAAAATTTTGAAAATAATAAGAATGTAGGCAAAAAGGCCATCTATTCTACATTCTTAAATTAATTTTATAATTCTTTTTTTTCTTTTGGTAACTAAAAGGGTTTTTTGTATTACCATATTATCTTTAAGTAAAAGTTATTGAAAGTTAATTAGATTTAACTCATACTCATGTTTCTTTATACAAATTGCAAATTTTTTTTTTCTTTTTCATTTAAGAAATATGTTTCATAAAATTTGCAATCCGTTAACTTTTAAAGTATTAGAAGGGCTTAACATACAGATAACCTTACTTCGCTTTACCAGTACTTTTTTTAATAAGCTTTTTAGTAATTATCTCCCTACACCCAACCTTGTCTCTGTATGTAATCAAATTTGCTACATCATATTATACAGATACCAAAACCTGAGATTTTTTTTTTTTTTTTTTTTTTACCGGGGTGTGGGTTGGCAGTTCAACGCTTTACAGTCATGTTAGATAGGGACTTACGGTTTAAAGTGGGTTCTGAAATACTACAAACATCCATAGCACCACAGAGACTCGAATCCAAAATCTGTGATACCGAGCGCCAGTCACTCGGTCATCAGGCCCCTATTATATCGTCTACCTGCCAGTCTGAAACACGAACTCTTTGAGGTTAAAAAAGAAAATATTTCTAATATAAAATAATTTTATCATTCGCCATAATAAACAGCTTCAAATATTTTATCTATGAATTTGAATAACTTTAAATAAAATGGTTTTTTTTTAATTTAATTTTTACAAAAAACAGACTTCTCTATTTAGAAACCTTTCAATCATCTCCAGCTCAATTTAAAATCGAATTTCAAATAATTTTTTTAAATTTCCACAAACATCAAAAATAATTTCATAAAACCAATTAAAAACATTTCTTTAACACTTATGCATAAGATAATATAACCTATTTGTATATACATAAATAAAGTACCACCCCTTTTACAACGTTATTTGGTAAGTAAGAAAAACATCTTTTAAAACAGAGGCAAGAACAATCAACCTGCTACTCAACGGATTTTAAATCCCATAAAAAGGGCCCGAGGGCTTAAACACGTCAACAGCCTAAACGGTTGAGAGACCACAAACGACCTGCACCCTACACAAATTGTCTCCTGTGAGACGCCACAGCACAATATGTCACCTTCTATCATCCCAGCCAAACACAATGGACCAAAAAGAAAGAAGAAAAAAAAGAACATCTTCGTGTGATCTTTGAATCTTCTTCTTCTACCGTCCTTACCTCCAGGCTACAATTGTCTAACCATTAAGATAATGGAAGAAGAAAAAGAAAAAGTTCGTGAGTATGTGTTATGAATTTTTATTATAACCCTAACTTATTTCTCAGTTCTTTTTGTTAGTTCACAGTGGATGATGGTAAGTTACTTGTACAAAGAGGCTGTTGGAATTTTTCTGTACCGGCTAGGGTTATTAGGACATCATTGGCATTTGACACGGGTTCTTGGCGCCGGCTTGGCGTTATTTTGGAGGGCATTTGGCGGGGTTTTGTGTTTTTACAAGCAATGCAAATTTTTCGTCTTTGCAAGTGTTTTGACCTAGTTGGAATGATGGACATTGAGTACGCTAAACGTCAGAAGGGACAGGATGTGATAGACGTTTTATATCGTTTTAATTTACGTCTGCTGCATATTAAAAAGATTTTTGTTTTGTTTTTTATCATTTTATTTCCAGTGAATTGAATGGCATGAATATGAATGCGTTGTATTTACATGTTACACGCGGTTGGATGAGATTTTATTAAAAATAGAAACCAAATCTCAGATAAATCATCGTGTTAGGTGAATACTAAATCTCGAGTTTCTGGGTTGTTCAGTTTTTCTCAATAAGGTATTACGGTCAATACATATATATATTTATGAAATACCAAAGCTATGTCTTATTACTAAACATAAAGAAAAAAACATGCAAGCATTTTTTAAACAGGACATATTTCTTGCGTTAAAAAAAATGAAATGAAAAATTGCGGAGAAAATAAAGCGCTACGCTTGTGAAAGCCACAGGAAAAAAAAAACCACAATTGTTTTATGAGAGAAATCTTCCAATTCATAAATAAAGTTGGGGCATGATGGCCGAGTGACTAGCTCTCTGGCGCTCGGTGCCACAGGATTGGGTTCGAATCCCAGTTATATCATTCTTGTAGTGGTTCGTAATCCACTTTAAACCTTAGGTACGGTCTAATATGATTCTTAGAGCGTTGCGGGTGTAGTATTACTCGCGTCCATAGCCTATCTTCAAGCTACATGGGCCCCCTGGGTAGTGCTTAATGAGTAACAGCGGTGCAGCCCTTGATTATGGCATGAAGATTAACTAACACTTTAAACCGTAGGCCCCAGTCTAATATGACTGTAGGGCGTAGGGCTGACAACCCTACCACGTAAAAAGACATCTTCTTCTTCACGAAATCTGTCAGTTTGCATATGGATTTGGCCCAGCGTGAGCGCTAATAAATGATGATGATAAATAAAGTTAAAATATTATCTGATAGCACGTTTAATTGAATTCTGAGTTACAGTAGCGATCGCAAACTTTGATTTAATTTATTAAAAAATTTGATTTATGACTCAATAGTAACGTTGTTGTTTCTTATCCCACTTGGCTGGTCAAGCCCACGTGGCCCATACGTACTCATGATTGAAGGGGAAGGAAACAGCTTCTGGTGTGATGGAGTACCCGTAGGTAGAAGTCTGACTTTGGCTCCATGACGCTCTTGCAGTCATAGGAGACCGGGACCTACGGCTTAAAGTGGATTCCGAACCACTACAAACATCCATGGCACAGCCGGTTCGAACCCGAAACCTGTGGCACCGAGCGCCAGGCACTCGGTCATTCAGTTCCCAAATTTGTGAAAGCCAACGGCACGCGGTGTTCCCGGGTGGTCACCCTCCCAAGTACTGACCGCGCCCAATGATGCTTGACTTCGGTGATCTGAACGAGAACCGGTATATTCAGCATGGTATGGCCGTTGGCTAAACGTACATAGATAATCCACTAGTGGTGCAGATTATTGTCATTACTTTCAGAAACAAGGGAATTCGTACTTGACTGCATGTGCAAGTATCACCCATTGACAGTTATATTGGAAGTTTTCCGACTTTATCTCCAGACTTAAGGAGACTATCTTGTCCTTTAAAGTAATCTTGATGGAAAAAGTACTTAATCATCCATCTAAGGGCTATAGCACAACAAATAATATATGTAAAAATCAAAAGAGGTAAAGCAGAAGCCACAATTGTTGCTCAGGAATGAGGACAACATCATGATTAAATATTCAACACTTCGCTCCGTCATAGAAATGGGTTTTTCTCAGAAAGCAATTTACTTTTTATGATGAATAGGATTGAAAAATGGTAATAAAACAGGATTATGTGTATCATACTTAGTCATATACAAGTTACTAAGTATTATTAAGTTCGAGGGTCTAAATATTACTTAGTAATATTTAGGACTTCCCTAATACAATATTTTGACCACGCGCCAGCACGTCATAAGCATTAGAAGAAAGATTATTTCCTAAATGCCATATAACGCGCTGTCATGTAATGACTTAAAATGAATGAAAAGAAATGACAAAATATCTTATTTTTGTATGTTACTTAAACAGTAAAATATAAATATTTAAATATATAATATAAATAAATATTTGATATAAATGAATTATTAAAAGTTGGTTACAATTATATTATTACAGCAAACAATATTTTTAAACATTTTATGTGTGAGTCGCCTTCGCATCGTTGTCGTAACTCACAACAGTCGGGTACTCTTTCGAAAGCTCGGCCAACCCAGTTGCAATTTCATCATTTGCTACAGGCTTATAAAATTACATTTTTTTTCTTCTTTTGTGTGGGTGTGAAATCACTGCAGAACTATCGTCTTTACAACTCATATTATTACATTTGTTTTGTTAATAACTAATCAATTGGAAACCAGAAACCTTTACAACCAGCTTAACAGTTGGGCTGACATGTACGTAGGCTGACACATAGATGGCGCTACTAGTATTAAATCCATATGATTTTTAGTTAGCTCTAACCTTCAAAAGACACGTGTATAAATTTGACAGCTGTTGCACTATTTGTATGTGAGTTATAGCATTTGTAGTGAAGCAACTTTTGTTAGTTTGAAAAAAGGGATAAAAAGGAAATTTCGTGTGTTAACAAAGCATTGCTTTTTGGCAAAAAAAAAAAAAAAAAATACTATTGAAGATAAGGCTCGGCTTATTCGGACTTTGCACCAGGAAAATCAACCGTAGAGCAGTGGTTTGCTAAATTTAAATGAGGCGAAATGAGTTCCGAGGACGATGCACGCAGTGGTCGCCGCAAAAAGGCTGTTACAGACGAAAGCATAAAAAAAGTCCACAAAATAATTTCTGATAACCGTAAAGTGAAGTTGCTTGAGATAGCTGAGACCCTAAAGATATCAAAGGAACGTGTTGGGCATATCGTGCATGAATATTTGGATATGCGAAAGCTCTGTTCAAAGTGGGTGAATAAGTGGGTTTTGAAATGTTGTCAAGATTGCTAAACAAATTCATGGAAGTTTAAAAAGAGTGTAACTTGACGCTAACTAGATTGATTTAGGGAGAAACAAATGCCGTCATTTCTGAGGAACCATCGTGCTTTAGTCATCATGCGAATAATTTTATTTTCTAATATTTGCAATTTAATAGTTCTAGTTTCCGCAGGTGAGCCCCAAACTGGACAGACAGGTGTGATAATGGGAGACGCATGTAAATTAGTAGTTTATTTTCAACAGAGAGGAGGGAATCACGTTTAATGAGATCTCATAAAGTGAGAATGCAAGAATGGAATAATTTATTTTTATTCTGATTAACATGATGGTTAGTGTTAGAAACATGTATTTCATGCAGTTTTTGAAATGCACATCATGTAAAGTCCGTGGAAAAAGGCATGTTTATTTTTAATAAAAATTTTTAAAATTAAGATCGTGCGCGGAGTGAAGAATCTGTTTTGAAGAATACCTTCTCTCATTTTCTTTTTTTCCAAACATTTTTTTGTGGAATGCGACGGAAATGTTTACCATAACAGTATCATGCTCGTATAGGTTTATAAAAAGAACACGTGAACTTAATTATTTTATAAAATTATTTAAGTTCGTGTACTAGGCAAAAAATTTTTTTACTCATAGATAACCCAGAGTGCAATGCTACATTATTCCACAACAAATTGGAAGGTACTGCCCTTTCCCACAACAAATTGGAAGGTACTGCCCTTTCCCACCTCAAACAGCTCCACAATAGTCAAAATCAACCAGTCCGTGGTTTTTTTTTTTTTGAACAGCTAGATTTTTTGGCCAAAACCTTTACCTAACAAAATTTTCTTTTAACAGTTCATTCTGTTAAACCAATTTTTTTCTCGTATTTTCTCCCTTTTCTAAAAAAAGCTAAGAATTTGTATCTGAATTAATAACATACTTAAATGGCATATTTATATAGATTTATACATTTATATATGGGATGAATTGAGGGCCTGAATGGCCGAGTGTCTGACGCTCGGTACTACAGGTTTCGGTTTCGAATCCCGGCGGTGCCATGGATGTTTGTAGTGGTTTGGAACCCACTTTAAACCGCAGGTCCCGGTCTAATAGGATCGTTGCGGGGGCATTGTTACTCCGCGTCCGTGGCTTATCTTCAAGTTACCCTCGCCCCCTGGGTAATGCAAAGTGAGTAATGTCTTTGCAGCGCTTGCCTTAAGGCATCCAAGACCAAGCTGTCTAAGTGTTTGCCAGCTGCATTAGAACGAAAAATATATGACAAATTCAGCTTTACCCAGGCTTTAAGTTGGAGAGTCAAGGCAGGGGAATGCTATACTGCACATACATTATGTCACCATCATTAGGATTGATTACCAATCGAACAGTTTTTCCCTCTCACACCTATCTTTGATAAAAAACAAGAAACTTTCTGCCTATAGATTCTTATTTCTCGACACTATTGGTTATACCGAAACTTTGATTCAACACCATTTGTCAAAATTTGAATAGAATTCTCCCTAAATACTACATTTCCACAATTGGTAATTTATATTAAATAAGTGTATAACAGATTTTAAATGTTGTCTTTCGCATTGATACCTTTGACTAAACGGGGAGATTCGGTAGAAACTGTGTAAGCATCTCGTATCGACAGTTAGTTTACTTGAAAAGATTTTCAAAATTCTTTCATAACTAATAAGTAAATTTAAATATTTTAAGTATGAATTGAAGTAATTTTAAATAAAAAAGCTTTTTCATGAAATTTTTACAAATTTGTGTATTATATTAAAGTGCATTATTTTAGCAAGAACAGAAGGAACTATTTAAAATATTATCACATTGAATATCAGTGCGCTTCAGGTAACTCCTAATAGATGGCAGCACCAACACATTTTAAGGCAGGTAATCAAGGTCGAACTCAACCAACACCCAACTTAATTCACGTTTCACGTATCTTGCAGTACGTGTATCGCATACAGATTAAAATATTTCGCATTCTAAGTCGTAGTACTATTTTTTTCGCAACTCTTTTGTAGCAAACCTTATACAAAGGAAGTTAATTTAAGTCTGAGATGCCATCAATATTCTCATATACGAGGTTTTAAATTGTGTTTCCTTTTTGTCGGTAAATTACTCGTGAAAGACAATTTTTAGGAGCAACCGGTTAGGTCAGGTTCTATAATTTTCATCTTATTTTACTTTTCAAAGCAAATTATCCAAAGTCGGGTTTCATTTTTCATTGTTATTATTAACTTCAAAGAATCATTATTTTTCGAATTCCACTAGATCTGAAATTATTTGGAATTGGAATAGCAGATATGTGACATTTTCAACATTACCCAGGATGTACCATTGGAAGAATACGCTACACTCATTTTGTGCCTCTGGAATGTGGAATCGACTATCGTGTAGACGTCAAAAGGTTTACATTATTTTCCTTAAACTTGAAGGCAGGTCTTTCTGGCCAACACATTTACCGTTATTCAGCTTTCTAATGCAGATTTCTCGGATCGGATACCTAGTGCAATACTCACTAGCTCAAATAATCTATACTAGCTCCTGGCCTGAATGACCGAGTGTCTAGCGCTCGGTGCGACAGGTTTCGGGTTCGAGACCCGGTGGTGCCATGGATGTTTGTAGTGGTTCGAAATCCACTTTAAGCTTTAGGTTTCCGGTTTCATATAGCCATAGAAATTTACAGAGCCCAATCAGACTTCTCACCCACGTCATTCCCAAACTGTAAAGGGGCCACTCAGCTCTAGGCACAGTGATGTGGTGTAGTAGTAGTAGTGGCTCCTGGCCTTTATAGGCTCAATTACGCATATGTATTTAATATACGCAAAAAAGATACAATAAAATATCTATCTGAAGCTTTTCATTCATGGGCCTGACTGGCCGAGTGGCTAGCGCTCTGGCGCTCGATACCACAGGTTTCGGATTCGAATCCCGGCGAGCCATGGATGTTTGTGAGTGGTTCGGAATCCACTTTAAACTGTATGTCCCTGTTTAACACGATCGTAGAGCGTTGCGGGGGCTTTGTTGCTCCGCGTCCGTGGCTTATCTTCAAGCTACACGCACCTCTTGGGTAGTGCTTAGTGAGCAACGTCTGTGCAGTACTTGCCTTAAGGCATCCAAGACCAAGTGTCTGTTTGCCAGCTGCATTAGAACAAAAAAAAAAAAAGCTTTTAATTCATTGGCATCTATATATCAAGTTAAGCATTAATGTCTAGAAAAAGCGAAATTCGTGTTCAAACTACTGCACACAATTAGCACAAATCAAAATTATTTGTATTAAAAATTATAATACAATTAAAGGAATATTTCTTTAATATAAGTTTTTAGTTTTATGATTATTTATTTTCCTTTATATACCTGCTTTAAAAAAAACTGGCTAATTTCCTTTATTATTATTAAGAACATGGCTTTTTCTTTATGAAAAAATAATAAATCAGATATTACCTCCATTTTAG